AAATAATTTGTTATTTCATGAGAGACACCAGAGTAGTCTATTTTAAGTAAAGTGTATGATTTATGATGCTATAAAAATTCAGTATAAGGCAAAGAGAAAATAAATAGAAGCATACTTAAGAGGTTGATGCATACAAATAAATTTAGAATATATAAATAGGCTTCAAAGTGAGCTAGCCTTTATTGCCTGCGAATCAGTTATTTTTGCTTTACTAATAAGAATTTCATCTATATTTATACGAAATAATAGGACTAAGGCTGTAATGAAGTAACCAAAGCTGAGATAAAGGAAGACAAGTAAGAACATGTCACTTAGTTCATTGTGGGCAAATTTAAACAGGTTTCAAAACCTGTTGAGGATACTGTTGAGAATAAATTGATTCCGAAACACCATTTTATCCTGGATAAAAAAGCTAGTAAGAGAGAAAAGAAATGAATAATTCAATTGCATCGTAAGGTCTAATCATTTACTTTTCGGAAAATTATATATAATTTATACAGCAATTAATGTGTCTTAATATGACAAACTATATTATTTCGATAATTGATTTAATAAGCATTATTCTTCATTAGTTAATTATAAGATTGCTTTCGGTTTCTGGATTTCCTTATAACCCATGAAGTCTCGGTATTTAGCTTTCATTTCTTACATACCCTTTTATAACACTATATAACTCTGCTTAATTGTCCAAACTAGCTCCACGCGATTTTCTAGGAATATAGAATGCATAATAAGTTTGACTCTGACGGCTGTATGCCATGGTCCTTACTTTGCCATATTAATGGTTGTATTTCTTTATATTTCCTATCTATATAATTAAATTAGACAACACTTTTAAATTAAGGTGTTAACAAACCAATAATTTCTGAAAAAATCATTTATGCTGAATTATTTAACTTTTCTTATACAAATCTTTTAAATTATACGCCTTACTTTTTTTGAAAAGATTAGATTTTTTCGGAATAATATTGTCTAGATGTAATACACAAGATGAATTGACGCTATTTGGTTTTTGTGGAAGGACTGGCAATTAATTTTTTTAACAATGCTATAAGTGGACTACTCGTTTTCATTGAATTTTATATAGCCTTGTCTCACAAAATATATTATTATCTAGGAGGGATTACGGTTTTTACTTTACCAAGGTTTTAACAGCGCCCCCAATAGGATTAGACATCAATTATTGGAACGTACCGGTACGACAAATTAACAAAAACGCTACACTACCGCAGGTGTCTTTGGGTCGTAGAAAGTCCAGGCCTTTCCATTATCATTTTCTGGGGTGAAAATCCAATTTAGCCATTGTAGTTATTATTTCATTTGAATGCATTACTTTTTATCGCTTAGGATCAGGTTTCTAAACTAATATTAGATTACATATTGGATCAATTTACCCTATTTATATTAAAGTAGTGATGATCTGGTAGATGAATATTCCGATGAAGATATATATAGGCCTCACATTTCCATTGAATTTAATATCATTGTGGTCTGCGGTCGCAGATATTAGGGCTTATGAGCGTAATTTCACGTCAAACCACACTATCCTTATTTTTATTTTGATTTAGTTGTTAAAGTCCAACTCAACTATTCCTGTTATAATAAAGTTCAAGAATAATAAAAATTTTATTAACGGTACACCCTTGGAGTTATGCATCAAACAGCTATATTGTAGTA